ATTAACTCTTGAAGCGCGCCATCTTTATTCATTTTGTTGTTATTCCTTCGTTTTGTAGTAAATCGAAATCACGTACTAATGACCGTTCCGACATACAAAATAAAATCATTTAGATTCGTCTTCTGCCAGAAATGTTAAGGCATTAACAAGGTTTTCGCCGTCTTCAGTAGTAGTATTTAATGTGTTGGTACTGGCGCAAGATTTAATGGTGTCGTACATTCTTCTACCAGCGTGCAAATTCACCATGTGATTTAAGCGGTTAAACCCTTAACTTGGCAAAAAAAAATCAATTACTGTTTTTTTTTTCAAATAATCTTGTTTTATATGACCACAGAATGCACGGAAAAATAATAAAAAAATCATAGCATTTCACATTCAGAAATATATACTGTATCCCATGAGATACATTGCCATGTTTTTAAAGAATGACTATCTCAGGCGAATGTATCCCACGAGGCACACTGCCAAAAAGACGTAATAATACAAATAGTATATAAAATAATTTTATTTTTAATTAATAAAATCACATATTTATGTTTAATAAGAAATTACAAGTGGTGAAACATATAAAAACAATTTCTGCCAGGTACTAAGCATAATCTGACTCCACACTTAGTACAGGACACAGTGGTTTGACCTTTGGTACATACTTTGCATCTGCCTTTTGTACCAAAAGTCGCAAAATGACCAAGTTGATCACTGCGAATTTCTGTCGATGGTCTTGGAGCAACCGGCGCCCTTATTATTTTTGATGGAGTTGGACCCTCTACATTGTCCTTATGTTTCGTGGTGGTTCTGTGGAACAATAATAAATTTTTTGCAATGTTGTACCTGAATTTCTTCAAACTCATTGTTTTTTCACTGCCGATATTTCTCCGGTACAATATCCAACTATTTATAACACATATATCTAACAGCTGTGATACCAATGGTAGGTACCAGCGGTGTCCCTTTAGCTCAGTTCTGTATAGAGCAATTAGCATGTCAGCTAAATCAACACCGCCCATATGGGCGTTATAATGTTTTATGATTTCAGGACATGGCACCGCTGCCCTAGTCTTTTTCTCTTTGTCGTACCTTTGGATCGTGGATATAGGGTTGACATCTACGGAGCTGCTGGCGGTAGTGACACATTTATTGTCGTACCACTTGACGACACACACTTTCTTATCATTGCACACGACTTGCGAATGCGAACCCCTGGGTTTATTTTTCAGAGCTTTATCAGTAGTGAGCTTCTTCTCAGCTCCGCGTAATCTATTTGCCCTTATGGTTCCGAGTGAAAATATTCCCATCTCTTCTCGGAGGTAGTAAATCAATTCGAGGCTTGTAAAGAAGTTATCAAAGTACACTACAGAAGTCGCTGGATCGGGTATAGTTTTGCATAATGCTATTACAACTTTAGCGCCCATTCCAAGAGAAGACTCTACTAGTGAAAAATCTATTGTTCTAAAGGTGTCTTCACCACCATTAATAAGAAAGTCGTACACAAAGCCACTTACACCAGCTCTAACAAAAATCTTATAACCCAGTGGGGTTTGGGAAGAAGTGTCTTCGGCTTGTTTTTTATATACTGCTTTCGATTACCAGCTTTTTTTCCTTTGTACCATCATCTCATCTATGCTGAATTTTTTTTCATGAGGTACTTTCAAAAAGTTGGCTCGTAGCAAATCTGCCAGGGGTCTGATTTTATAATAACGATCCCCATCATCAAGCAAATTGTTATTGAAATGTATGTAGCGGCGTAATTGTTGAAATTTTTTGAGAGGCATGATATCTGCTATTTGATCGAATCTTAATTCTCGGGACCAATAGTCTGTATACGAAGGCATATCAATTATTCCCATCAGCAGATTTATTGCAACAAAGTCTTTTATGTCTTCAACTGTAAAATTTAATTATTTATTAGTTTGTTGAGTAGAATACAAGTTAGTTTGTTCCTTGATGTAGTGAAAAATTTCTTCAGTAAAAAAGGTGAAAAAAATATTCAAACGGATCTTTCAGACATACTTTTTCTTGAAAACCATTATCGGCTATTTCTGCTCGATGACGGAATTGTTGTCTAGTCCATCGAAAATTGAGAGGTTGCACTCTTACTCGCGACAGCTGAGGTCGACGTACTATAACCAATCTTGGTCTGATTGCTCTGGAACGTATAGATGCTGGAGTCGCTGGAAACTGTGGTGCTGTCGGAGAGGGAGCCTGCTGTAGAGTCACTAACGTTGGAGTCAAATTTTGAGTAGTTGTTGGAGTGAGTGGAGACGCTAGCAAAGGTGATGCAGTAACCGCTTCTTGGAAATCTACTATTTCATCATCAGATAGTAGGTTAAGATTTTCCATCGATGATGGCAGTGAAGGCACTGGTGATGATTCTTCGTCTACCCTATGTCGAACTGAAATCTGCCGGGTTTCATTTTCAGACTCTGTAGATGAATCGACCGATGATTTTCTGCCCGATTTTGGGATAAGAGCACAAAGCTTTCTACCTCGCGTGAAGGATGGCTGCACTCCGCCCTAAGAAAAACAAGCTTATTTAACCCATCATGCAAAGCAAAAATCAAAACGAGCACACATGCTATAAAACCAAAAACCAACAATCAGATTTCAAAGAAGGGAGCATCGAGCATACCTGCCAAAACCAATAGCACGTATATGTACAAACCATGCCATGCTGTTATAAAAAAAAATATATAAAAAATAAGTTTATTCCGACCGGGAATCGAACCCAATACCTTTTTTGTAATATTTTAACACCATTACCACTATGCCATCATCAAAGTAATTAATGCAAAACAATAAACATAAAACATCACAAACGTGGCAGTGCGCACTACACGATACAATACACCAAAATGTAAAAAACCAGTAAACATGGCAGTGTGCACTACGAGATACATAATAGTTTAGCTCCAGTTTACTAAACCAAATATACAGTTTCGCATCAAAATTCACTCAATTGGCACGTATAAACTAATATCCTTTACCGTGACATGCACAATTAACACATTATTGCCTAAAAACAATATAAAATATTGATTTTCTTACCTTTTTCGGCGGGATCGCTTTGAGTCGGTTCATTATTTTGAATATGAATGAAAAACGGTTATGTCAAACTGACATGACGTAAAAACGTTTAGAAATAGTTGCTTTTTTAACAGTAATAACGTTCCGTTTCATGTAATAATATTTTCGTAGAGAGATTTTTCAAAGTCGACTGTATCTCACAGTGCACTCCGTCAAGAAAAGGGTTAAAGTTATTGCAACATATGCCTCTCCTGGGTAGTTGCATGAGATTTCTTAATTTTGTTTTGATTGTCCCCATTACGCTGTAAATTCTTTCAACGACGGCATTACTCAAAGCTAACGAAAGACATCGTATCGAAAACTCTGCTAATTCTTTAAACATCAAGCTTCCACCAGCATTCTTAATTTTTAGCACTTGTATCCATAAATTTACAACGTCATCGGGAGAAGCAGCTGTTCCGATTATATCCTCAATGCGCATCGTGCTTAATATGCGCCACTGGTTTATAATAGCTTCTTGGTCAATGTTAGGATAACCCAACTGCCAGGGAAAATCTTCAATGTTGGGTTTGCTGATTGAGAGGCATACGCGGCTTGGTGCCAAAAGTTGA